GACCCTCGGGCCCACACCTGGCCAATGTGCGCCATCAGCCAGGTGACGACAGGTTTGGTGTCCCTTCACCTGCCCCGGGCGCCCGCCCGCCCGCCGGTGGAGCTGAGGGTGCTCGTGGCGCTGCGTCTTCACTGCGTTCCGCACTGGGCCAGGAGGAAGTGCGTTCTTTCATCAAACTGCTTGGAGCGCCAGGACACAGCCTGGCCTGTCCAGACAGACCCCGGGATGGGGAAACGGTTTTCCTTTGCGTTCACAATTTTCTGCCCTCCTCTTCGCTTTAGTTCAAAGTTTGTAAAAACTCAGCTCCCGCCACCCCAGCCGAGCCCTGGCCACGCAGGGCACACTCTCAGGAAAGAGACTCGCCGCCAGCTTAGCAAGCTCAGGTGAGGCTGCTGCAGGCGGGTTTGCAGATGCCTGGTGACCCCACACCTGCTCCCTGAGCTGCAGCCTCCTGTGTGCGGGGAGATCAAGGCACCTGTTAGGGCTTCACTGGGCTCTTCTGGGGAGCTGAGACTTAGAGACCAGTGAGACTTGAACCCGGACCCAAGGAATTCTTACAGAAAAGCCTACAGGGAGGGCTGGGTTGGAATTTGAAGTCTTAATCACTAGGCCCTGAGAACAGCCCGGAGGATATGGGCTCCGGGGTTTCCTATTGGGCAGGAAAGCTGCCTGTCTCCAGCTAACCCAGGCCCAACTCCCTGGCCCCTGAAAACCATGTGGGGCTGTGGGGACTGTGGCTTAAATTCTGCCCACACCTGGCCTGTAAACTGCATCTGTTGTGTGGACGACCTCATTTGCAGATTTTACTGCAACTTTCATTGGGTCATGAATTCGCACGAATCATACCTCAATAAAAATCAGTAAAAGGTCTCACTGGGTGCCGTGTGATGGAGGCAGGGGACCACTGTACCCACCCTCTGCCCTCAGAGCAAGGTAGGGAGACCAGGAGCCTGGGGGGGAGGCTTTGCAGGAGGGGAAGCTGCCTGCCACCTGGTCCCTGCCAAAATAGGCTCTGCCTGCGGCTTCTGCGAGGTACGCGAGCCAGCTTGTCTGGGTTTTGATTGATGGGGGAATGTTTTCTTGACTGGCAAATATTTGCGTTCCCAAGTTGGCGAGGCTTCACTTCCTGGTTTGTGCAGGCTACAAAAGAGCAAAGGAAAAACGGGGGAAAGCCGCCATTCAGAGATGCCACCGAGGGAGGCCCACGGCACAGAGCCTTGGCATCCTCATGTGTGCCATAGGACAGTGCTACTGCTTATGCCACCGGGCTTCCAAGAGCAGAGGAGGCAGCTCACACCGACTGACAGTACAGCGGGATCCCTACATCCAAGGTGCAGAGCAGCCCTGTCCACAGCCGGACACAGGAGCTTCTCCACACACCAGGGCATCCCCCAGCCGCAGGCACAAGGCACACGCCACAACGTGGACGAACCTGCCAGGCACCATGCCATGCGAGGCAAGACACACCCAGAAGTGCACATCTAATCCGGTGCAGCAAAATGTCCAGATAGGCAAATCCGCAGAAATAGAAAGACTCGTGGTTGCCAGGGAACAGGAGGGGGAGGATATGGAGAGACCGGTGATGGTGACTGGTTTTCTTTTAGGGGCATAGAAATGTTCTGTTGTTAGAAAGTGGTGATGGTGGGCCGGGGATTTAGCTCAGCGGTTCGGTGGCCTGCCTTGCAAGTGCAAGGACCCGAGTTCAATCCCCGGTACTGAAAAATAAAGTGGTGGTGGTTGCATAACTAAATTTACTAAAAGCACCAAAATGTACACTTTTAAAGGATAGAATTTATACTATGTGAATTGTACCTCAGCAAAGCCATTTTGTTTGTTGTAATCCTGGTGATTGAATCCAGGGCCTCCACACTGTGCTACACACTCAGCCCCTTTGTGTTTTGAGACAGGGTCTCCCTAAGTCATTAAGTGGCCCAGGCTGGGTTTGAACTTGCAGCCTGCCTGCCCTCCGGCTCCCAGAGTGCTAGGGTTACAAGTGTGTACCACCACACCTGGCTACAAGCTGCAAAAAGGAAAGGAAGGGGAGGGGAGGGAATAAAAAAGAATGAAGATACGTTATACACGTGCAGTGGCTCTCTGTGATTAATACAATCATCACAGTGTATTAGTACTTGTATCAATAAAAATATTTTTTAAAAGTTCATTTCTTATGAAGTCCCCAGGTCCCCCAAACACTGTAATAACCATCCCAAAACTGTGGACCAGTCTTCCCCTTAGGATCTCAGCTCCACTGTATCTTCTGGTCCCCTTGGAATTTGGACCACCCAAATAGTCCACCCAAATGAACCACCCACTCTGACATCCAGCACATGCAATTTTATGGCAGCTGACCCCCCCCCACCACAGAAATGCTCCACAGTGCCCAGCGTGGAGGCCCCGCCATGCAAAAAACAGCTCTCGCAAAATAGCGCCCTAAGCACAAGGAGAGGATGGGACTGAGGTGCCGTGGATGTCTGGACTGCCAGCTCGTGGAACAAGAACTGCCCAGAGGCAGTGCCCAAGTCACTCTGGGACTGAGCTGTATGGGAGGCCCCTGGGGTCCACAGCATACAATGTGTTAATTCAGCCTCTGACTTCCTGGACTTTCTTACTCTAAGTAAGGGGACCGTGGGCCAGGAAAGTGGAGGATTCCAGCCATCAAAGGACAAGGCTGGGGAGACCCTCAGGGCCTGGTGGCCCCCCGGGCAGTACAGTCACCCATCCTGTGTCCCTGGCCTCACTGGGCTGGGGAAATCAGAGCCTCTGACGGCAGCCTGGGAGCCCTGCTCCAGCAGTGAAGAGGAGGGGACGGACATCATTGAGCTAAGGAAGGGGCTAGAAATGCAGTCACAGCAGCAGAAAAGAAATGCAGAATGGCAGCCTCTGGAGTTACTATGGCAGCCCAAACACGTGGGCAGTGCCCCCCGAGAGGCCCGAGGAGGGCCAGGTCAGGAGACTTGGAGCTGGCTAGCACGGCTGGCCCGCCACAGTCTGGGCCCTGTCGGGCGTGCCCACCGTGTCACTTGTTGCCGCTTACCAACGGTGAGGACGGTGATCCAGGCAAGGGCTGCATGCTGCCTGACACAGCTGCGCGGCACCTGGCCGTCCCTGCCCTTGCAGTGGCAGCAGGGCTTTCTCACTGCTGCTCGGGGTGCCGTCCGCCCCAACGGGCGTGGGGAGCAGTTAAACCGGCTCTCTGGGGGCCTGCCCTTGTTCCCTCCTGGTTTGGGGGGTGGAGGAGGGGTGTGATGCCATGTAGCAGGCGAGACACCTGGCAGCAGGGCAGCGGCGGGACAGGCTGAGGGCCGGGCCTGTCTGCGTCCAGCGCCCGTCGGGGCAGGAGCTGTGCCAGGAAGGGCCAGGCAGGGGAGCCGACTGGATGCACGCAGGTGGCCACAGGTATCTCCCGCCTACCTGTGGCTCACACTGCCTGGCAGCGCCCGCCCTCCCTGCAGCTGGCTGCCCCCCTAGGCCTGGCAGGGCCCATAAAACAGCCCCACCGCGTGCGCTACTGTGGGGCCAGGCGCTGTCGTGTGCCTCCAACATGGTGTGAATACACTCTTGTGTCTTTTTGCCATCTGCTGCTGTCATTAAAAAATTACATTTCCATCTGTTTTCACGCTTTTCTCCCCTCTCCGCTTCACTCCTGGAGGAAGACAGCCTTCATTTCAAGTTGCGAGACCAGAATGTTCCCTGTGTCTTGGAACCTGGGAACTGTCCCGGACACCTGGGCAGGGCTCATGGGCTCTGTCAGCCAGCGGGGCCACCGACAGGACACACTCGGGGAGGCGTTCACGGAGCTTTTCCAAGGTTGGCTTTAATCGGTACTCTTGGCCTGGACATTGAACCTGCGTGAGATGAACCACAGACCTCAGTATCAAGCCCCAGGAGGTACCGAAGAGCAGGCTGAGAGCCAGACTCGGGAGCGAGGCTCTGGTTTCTAAGCTGTCCTTGGCTGGACCAGCCCCGAGAGGCACACATCCCACCTGCAGAGCGTTCCCCTTAACGAGCACGAACTTTGTGTCGCAACCAGCAAGCACCAGTGTCATCACGCCTGTTACAGGGCTGGGGCCCACAGGCCGCAGAGCTGTCACCTGGCTGTGTGGCCCCCACTTAGCCTACCGCTGTCGTTCCCACAGCCAGACTGGGGACCCGGCGCTGCGGCAGCTCCAGGGACCCCCGGGTGGAGGGTATGCAAGATGAGGGTGTCTCGGTTGGGAAGCAGCCCCAAGAAAGGGTCCAAGAGGAAGAGGGTTGTCCTGAAGGCGAAGCCGGGAGACAGGGAGCAGGGAGCACGTGCGAGAAGGGTACCGGCTGTGGCAGGGGAGAATCTCTGGATGGCCCCTCAATGTGTGGGCCTGGACCCATGGGGGAGCCCCTGCCGGCCGGCTGGAGCTGTACAGTGGGGCTGGGGTGCCGCTCCGTGCAACAGTGATCCCTGGCCTGCTCTGGGCCCTGCATTCCATCTCAGCACCACAAACACATGAAAGAAAGAAAGGTCAGAAAGAAAGAAACTCAGGAGGCTGAGGCAGGAGGACACAAGTTGGAGTCCAGCCTGGGCAATTTAGTAAGACCCTGTCTCACAATAACAACAATTATGGCTGGGATGCAGCCCCTGGTTCAATCCCCAGTATCTCTCTCACACACACAAAGAGAAAAGTACTGCAGACTCATGACTCAGGACTTAAGTTGGGACCCCATCCCCACTGAGACGTGCGTCATGGTGTGGACAGGAAGTGTTGCCCAAGGCTTTTGGGTGTCGTGGGCTTGATCCCCGGTGGCGCTGACATGGGGCTTCGAGGAGTGAGGATGCTGCAGGCTCCGACTATCGTGCATCCATCCGTGGGGCTCCAGAGCTCGGTGAGCTCATTAAATGGGAACCGAGGCCCAGAGAGGCGGGGGCTGCCTACCTCGGCGTCTGTGTGCCCTGTGCGGCCCACGTTACAGGCGGAGGGAAGGCTCAGGGAGGCCGCCGTCACACGCACAAAGGCGTTCCAGATGGCCCTCGCTCTGCCCTCATCTCCTGGCTCCTGAGAGGGGCGCCAGGGCTCTCATCCCACCCACGCAGGAGCACGCAGGGCCTTCGGGAGCCGCGCTGGGTGTGGGGACTGGGCAGGGTCCTCCTGAGGGGCGCCACCTCTGGCTGCAGGAGTCTGGACGTGCAGCTGTGGGGTAGAAGCCCGGCCAGGACTCTCGCTCAGCTCGCCCCCAGGAAGCCAGGCAGGGAAATCTGGCTGTGCAGCCCCGCAGGCCGCCGCCGCCGCCGCCAGCGAGCCGGGGCCTGTTGCCATGGGCACTAAAAGCCTGGGCTCGGAGTGCGATGAGAAGGGCAGGCAGCTGAGCAGAGCTGGGAGACGGGGACCCCTCGGCCTGTGCGCCCAGCCCCAGCAGCCCCAGACCGAAGCGGGAACGCGTGTCTCCGTTTACACCAAGTGCGAGGGGAGGAAAGGCGAACCCGCGGGTGGACCCAGGAGCAGCAGCCAGCGTGGCCCAGCAGCGCCCGGGGTTGGTGGCTGCTGTCCCCGGGTGGTCCCACGGGGCTCAGCTGGCAGTGACATCACCTGCAGGTGCTGCCTCCATGGCAACCTGGAGACCAAGGTGGCCAGGGTGCAGGAGCCAGGAGCCAAAGGGTCCCAGCGGAGGTCCTTGGAGGGCGGAGAGGGTACAGCTGGGAGAGGACAGCTAGGTGCAGGGTGGGCAGCACCACCCTGGGGCTACGCCGCCATTGCAGGCAGAGGCGACAGCTGAGACTGCAGAGCACACTTCCCTCTGGCTGCAGGTGCGGACAGCGTTGCATCCTCAGGGCCCGGCGCGGATCGGGGTGCAAGGACAGGACAGGAAACCGAGCGCAGCCTGTGAGGCCGGCCCTGGACGTCTGGTGAGTGTCCTGTGTCCTCTGCGGCCGGAAGGGCGGTTCCCTCTGAAGCAGCTTGGCCGGGGAGGAAAGGGTGCAGACTTCATGGCTCTGCCTCCAGTGGGGGCATCTGGGCTCACAGGCCTCCCAGACCCCAGGGGTCGCTGGCTCCAGCCCTTCTGTGGGTCCCACCCCTTCCCTTCCTGTCTGGAGCAAGATCGAGAAAGGGGCGTGGAGGGAGCCCTGGCCCTTGGCCCTGCATGTCACTCCTGGGATGTCCTGTCTGCCTGTCTCTGTCCCCCAGGGCTTGGGGCACGCCAGAGCCCACCATACAGTGATTTACAGAGGGGCCTCAGCCACCTGACGTCATTTGACCTCTGAGGGTGGTGGCTGAGGTCAGCTGTGTCCACGTGACTTAACTCCAGTGGACACTGTGGACAGCCAGACGCGGGAGCCGACACACATCGCAGGCAGGAGGGGCTGGCACCGTCCACGGCTCCACGGGGAGGGACAGAGAGGCCTGGCCCGGTCTGTCCTGGTCCCGCCCTTTGCCAGCTGTGGTCTGTGCCGTCTTCAGTTCCCAGGGGCCATCCGGGGGTGGCCGCAGGGCCCTGCAGTGTGGGGCTGACCCCTCCTGGTGCCCCAGCTGCTCCCAAACCACCCCTTGCACCCAGACCTTGGCTCAGGCTCTGCCTCTGGGGACAGTGGGAAAACCAAGCTGTAGCAGCGAGCAGTGGCACGAGCCAAGGTCAGCCGGGACTTGAGAGAGGCCCACATGGCCTGAGCCCCAAAAGCTGGACTCTTGGTGGTGGGTGGTTCTCCAGCGAAGCACAGCCATAGTCCCCATTTTTATGGACTATTTATTTATAATGCAAAAAAAGAACTTACAAATCACCCCAGGGGACTGGGACTGCCTCAGGGTCTGTAAAACAACTCCTAAAAAAATGGAGCAGCTCCTCTCCTGAGAAGTTCTTGTTGTAGGACCAGGGGGGCCAGGTCTGGGAGCTCTGTTCATCTGGAATCTCCTGCAGGGTCCTCCCATTGCCTCGCGGGGACCAGCAACAGCTAGAGTGAGTGGCGGGCATCTGTCCTCCCAGCGGTGTGCCGGGGCCTAGGGTCCGGCGCTGATGATGACTCTGCTACCCCGGGTCCAGGGCCAGGTCTGTGGCCCCATCCAGCTGTTCAGCACAATTGCACTGTCAGCCGAGGCTGGGATGCAAGCGCAGTGCGGGTCCATTTGGGGAGAGCCTCACGCCTCGGGGTCCAGCTCCACATCGTCCAGGCAAGACCCCGCCTCCTCCAGCCAGTCTGAGAGCAAGAGGGGTCGCATCTGGAGGGGCCTCTCCTCCCATGTACTGTGGCCAGGCCCAGTGTCCCCCAACACCAGGCAGCGAGTCCCAGAGGCTGCAAGGCTCCAGGGGTGCTGGGCTAGGTTTTCCCCTAGTCTACTCCTGCCTTTCCCTCCAGCATCCTGGATGAATCCTGGCCCTGGGGAGAGCAGGGGGACACCAGTGCCCCAGGTTTATGGAGGGGCTGAAGCCCAGGCAGGAGAAGAGCCAATCAGTGCCAAGGGCTCACTGCCTGGGACCCCCGAATGCAATGAAGTGGCCTGGCTTGGGCCAGGTGGAGTTCAGGTTCAGGCTGCTCTGGGTACAAGGCCCATTCTCCTGCGGTGGCTCCCCAGGAGGATGCCTGTGTGTGGCACTTTGGCCTCGGCAACTGCTGAGCTCAAAGGACCAGTAAGTTGTGCCCATACCACTTGTCTCCAAATATAAAGATGCAAAGGGCTGGGGATCAGCTCAGGATGAAGGTTCAAGCCCCAGTAGCAAGAAAAAAGTTCTCTATAAGGATCCTGCTTGGTTATTCCAAGATGGTGATGGAAATCAGAGGGACCCACTGCAGTCACCGCCGAGTATGGGCCAGGCCTAGGAGCCATGTGAGCAGACCACCCAGGTGCCCACCCGGCCACACTGGCAGAGTGGGCACAGCCCTGTCTCCCTGGTGCAGGTGCGCCCGCCCTCCTGTCACCGTCCTGGTGCCAGTTAGCCGCTCCCCACCTCAATCTGGCCAGGCAGGCAGCCAGGCATCTGACGGGCGCAGCACGGGGCTCACCTGCGCACCTGCAGTCCCTGGGCAGCACGGTGCCCGTGGGCGTCGGGGGTGTGATGACAATGTTGGGCACATCCAGGTGCTTGCCGCTCAGCACAGGGGCCTCATCGTGGCTGCCGCTGGTGCTGACGCACGTCTTGAAGCCTGGGCGGGAGGCACACCGGACACATGGGGCAGAGACAGGTGTCAGAGTCACTGTGCCCTGCTGCCCACTCAGCCCAGGGGCGTCCCTGCCTGTCGCACAGATGGGGAAACCGAGGCCCAGCAAGGCCCTGTGATCCCCTCGCAGCCTGCATGCCCTGTGGGTGGTTGGTGGGACGGATGTGAGGTGGGGAAGGTGGAAGATGGCACACCACACAGCAGAATTCGAACCTGTGCCAGCCCCACCCACCCTGCTGTGCCTGAGTCCCATTTCCAATGGAGTCTGCGTTCTCCCCTTAACTCCTGCAGATGTACCAAGGTAACTAGACTCACAGGAGGGTCTCTTGGAACAGGGTTTATGTTCTTTGGTATTGAATGCAGAACCCAGGGCTTTCAGGCTGAGTCGCACCCCCACCCATTTAACATCTCTTGTTTTGAGACAGGGTCTTGTTAAGTCGCTGAGTCACCCAAACTGGGCTTACAATTTGGATCCTCCTGCCTCGGCTTCTCCAAGTGCAGGATGAAAGGTGTGAACCCTCCTGGTTCTTGAAAAGACAGGGGCTCAGGTTTCTGGCCATCCCATGTCAAGCTGTGCTTTTCTAGGAACACATCTGCTTTCCCTGCGTGGCCGAGGTCTGGAGCCGGGCTCGCCCACAAACAACCCTGGCCATCTGGAGAGCCTGGCCGGCGAGCGCCTCCCGCTCCTCCCGCTCCTCCCACGGCCCAGATTCCTCCTCCTCAGCTCCCACCCTTCCCTGCAATTCCAACCCCTACCCCCAGCCCATCTACCCTCAAGGCGTCAGCCGCACCCTGCCTAGAGCACTGGCCAGCTCCAGACGCCTACTGGCAGTGCTTCTGTAGGTCTGCAACTTTGGGTCCCTGGAATGCTCGGCTCCGCGGAGAAGGGTTCTGCAGTCCAGCCAGCTTGTGGACTGAATCCCAGCCCTGTCCCCTTCTGGGGGACTCACGGCATGTTTGAGAAGTGAAGGCTCTGACAGGTCCCATGGGAAGGAAGGATTTGTAACTGGGCTTCACCTGTCTGTCCTAAACTCCGCCAGCCCTGGAGTCCGTTTCTGGAGGACACCTGCTCGCTTCCCTCAGAGGCCCGAGTCATGGAGGTGTTCTGGGAGACGCTGGTCCTCGGCTGGCCACCCCCCCAGCCCAAGGCCTGCTTTCAGCCCTTCTGGTCTTGCTTTCACTCCTGCCACCTGCTCCCAGTTCCCCAAACCCAGACTCCCTCACACCTTGGCATTTGCTGTGCCCCAGTCTGGAATGTGCTTTCTTCCCTTATTAGGGTAACAAGCTCCTACATATGCTTTAAAACCCAGCATGACAGGCCCCACTTTGGGGAAGATGCCTCCCTCCCTGGCCTGTCTGCAGAGTCCTGTCTTTATGCCTTCCAGGCCCGACTGTGGCCCGCAGCACTCAGCTCTTGTTTCAGTCTCCCTTGGCTGGGAGCATCTGGGGCCGCCCACCCCGGTCCACTATCTCCCTTGTGCCCAGGACAGGTTGAGCAACAGGGCTTTATCTTTTGCAAGAGACAAATAAAATGCTCCAGGCACTGAAGAATCGGTGTCACAGTCGGCCCCGTGTCCTCCCCGTGTCCCAGGGAGCATCAGGCTGAGGCCACAACCTGGCCTGGTAAGAATGAGGGACGTGGGGTCCATGACACTGCCGCTCTCGGCCTGCCCCGGCCACCCCAGAACTGGGCTCCCAGTAAGCCCTGCAGGGTCAGGGCGGTGGTCCCACTGACAGCCACACCGCCTGGCGCCACACGTGTTATCCCAGCACCCTGGGAGGCTGAGGCAGTGCCCAAGTTTAAGCCTAGCCTGGAAAATTCATGATTTAGTGAGACCCTGTCTCAAAACGAAAACAAAAAGGGCTGGGATGGAGCTCAGTGTGAAGGGCCTGGGTTAATTCCCCAGCTATGAAAGAGTAATAATAAAGATGAAGCCCCGGGGGGGAGGACTGTAGCTCAGAAGCGACTCTTGCTCCCTGAAGGCCGGGGTGGTAGGGCAGCCCCCACGCAGCGGGGCTCACACAGCCGGGTCGGCACGGGGAGGTGGCCGGCTGAGAGAGCCTCCCAGCAGTGGCCCTGCGGCCCTGCAGCCCCCTCCTGAGTGCCGGCCTGAGAGACCCTGAGCCGGAGCCCGGCCAGCCCCCTTCCTTCTGGGTTCCGAGACCCAAGTAGGGGCGGCCTGCACACCCCGGAGCGGCACGGTCTCCTGGCGCACGGGCAATCATCCGGGTCTGTCGTGTTTGAACCCAGAAAGGCTCCCGGAAGGCCAGTCCTGGGTCTGGCTGCATGTTGGGCTGTGCTGGGATCAGGGGCTTCGGGCCAGGTGTCCCTGGAAGGCCACAGCAGGTCCCTGCTAAGCACAGTAGAACCTCAGCCCTGCCCAAAGAGGTTCTGGGCTCTGCCCGGTCTCCACAGTGCCTCTCTCACACGGGGCATCTGAGAGCCAAGGCGGTGTCCCCGCAAGATGCATGGACACACGACTGCACTGTGGCCAGCACCGTGAAATGCATCATTCAGTGAGCTGAATCCGTGTTCCCAGGCCATGGGTGCTCTGATTGGCTCAGAATAAAGCCATTTCCTTTAATGGACAGCAGTTAAGCGGCAAAATGGGGACTGGAAGGGGCAGTGAGCCCCCACAGGCAAGCAGCTGGCCAGGGCAGAGCTAGGCCTGTGCCCAACTGGAGTGGGTGACCCCCAGCCACGCTTCCCACGCCACAGCCCCATCTCAGAGCCTCAGCTGTCTGAGGGGCACAGAGACCCGCTGACTCTGGGGCTGCAACACCTCACCGCTGACTGTCTGGAGCTGGGCCCAGCCACAGAGCAGTGGGAGTGACCGGCCCAGCTTCCTCCCAACACAACTGTCTCAGAGCCGGTGGCGGGCGGCACCCAGAACAATGGGGGAAGTGGGCCCTGGGTGTCCTGGTCCTGCCCGGCTCAGAACCTCAGGGGTCACACCGAGTTCCGGCCCCGGCCCCAGCCCCGTGCCTGGCTGCTGTGCGTGGGTGTGTGCAGCTGCTCTGACCCTGTGCAGTGACAGCGCGCACACTGCCCCTCCCTCCTAGCAGAGGAGGGGCCTGAGCTCAGGCCCAGGGGTACCCTCCCCTCGGTTGTCCTCCTCAAGCGTCAAAAATCCTAACAGAGCCTTTCCCCCGGCCACAAGTGCCTTCCCACAGGCGCTGGGGCTGGAGGACAAAGCTACAGGCTCCATCTGAAGAATGGTTCCTCCTGAGCCCCTGAGCAGGGATGCGGGAGTTGGGGAGGGGGTGGAGGAGTCACAGGGAGCACGGAAGGATCAGGGATGGGTGAGGGGCATGGAGGAGTCGGCTGGGCAGGAGGGAGCCGCTGGAGGGATCAAGCCCACTCTGGGGATGAAAAACCCAACGTCAGACCTGCCCCAGACAAGGAGCTCGTTTGTGTTATTTGTTAATTATGTGCCTGCCTTGGGCTATTAAAAGCCTGTTTCCTGAAGGGCAGGGCTTGGCTGAGACTCCAGCGCCAGGAAGCAGGGGCTCAGATAGGGACCCAGGCCCACGGGAGACCCTGGCTGGGGACCCCACAGGAGGCCTTTGGGAAGGAAGGGAGAGTGGAGGGCAGGGCTCCAGCCTGGCCCCCACGCTGTGGTCCTTGTCTCAGGGGCAGAGCCAGGCACAAGTGGGCCCTAAAGCAGCCTGTGGTCCAGCAGTCAGCCTGGTCCGGAGCCTGGCTGTGCCCCTGCTGCTGCCACTGCCCGGCCCCTGCCCGCTGCTACTTGAGTTGCCAGGGAATTGTGACCCCAGGCGGCTGGGTTTCGGATCTGAGTGCCCTAGGGTTGGGGTGACTCTGACAGCCAGGGCGGGGACCCCTCAGCCAGGGGGACTGCAGGAACAGGTGGCATTACTCTCTGAGCCTCAGTTTCCCTGACTATACGATGAAGCTGTGACCCCCAACCTTGTGGGAAGGGCATGAGTGGTGTGGGGTTTGTGGGCTCAGGGTGGTCCAGCTGGCCAGGGCAGGGTGGACTGGGGGTACGGAGGTGAGGCGCAGCATTGACTTCCAGCAAGCCGCCACCCCTTCCAAAGCCTCCTGCAGCCGCCTGAGCCATGCCTGTGTGTCTACCACGGCCCATCCTGCTGTGCCCAGGGTAGAAGCAAGCAACAGGGCAGAGGCCTAGGGGCCACTCACCCCTCAGTGACCCCCACTTCTCATCTTGGACCGGGCGAGCTCCCGCCCCAGACCCTGGGCTCTGCAGCTCTCAGCAAGGCCTAGACCACCCAGCGGCCACCGCACGGACAGCAGAGAACAAGGCGGGCCTGCCCGGGCATCACGGCTCACGGGCGCCCTCTACTGTTCATTTGAGAAACAGCAGCCAGCTCTAGCCAGGCTCATGGGGCGTCAGCCCTGAGCCTCTGCCTCCGGTCCTCACTGGGGTGAAGGCACAGCCATCGGGGGCTGCAGCCTGCACTGCTGGCTCCTCCCCCTCTGGGAGTGGACTCCGCGTACGGGATCTGTCGGTAACCCCACCAGGACCACCCAGCCCTGACTCAGCCGACCCTGAGTGCCCAGCCTCTGGGCGGGAGCCACAGCCTCGCTGGCCCGAGCAGCCCCGGAGAGCCCACTGTGCTGCCACGGGGGAGCAAACTGTCTCCACGGAGACCCCACACGCTGCTTTCCCCACCGCTTGCTCCAGGCTCCCACAGCAGAAATGAAGTGCAAAGCCGGCAGGCAGGCTGGAAATCAACAGGGAGGGTCCAGGAGGCCAGCACAGGAGCTCAGGATGGCACTCACCGGGCAACCCCCCACAAGGTCAGGGACTTCGCGTGAAGCCACCAGGATGTGACGCAGAGCCTCAAGGACAAAGACAAAGAAGGGATCATTCACAGTGGGAGCAGAAGTCCTTGGCAGACAGGCCCTTCACAGAGTGGCACAGGACAGCCACAGCAGGTGCAAGAGCCCTGGGGCAGGAGTACGGCACTGAGTGAGATCCAGGCCAGCACTAATCTCTCAG